GCTTTTGCTCTAAATTTGCAACTATATTATATGCTCAGACAGTGAGTTTATTAGTTTTTTAAATGTAAGAACTATATTTCTCCCAGATAGTATTTTTAATTATTTCATTCTCAAAGCTGTATCTTTACTGGGAGTTGTCTCAGTGAGTAAAAAAATGTCTACTCTCGATTTCTTATTGTTACGGTAACTGAGATAAATGCAAGTAATTTAATGTCACATTTTGGAACTGTATCTAAAGATTTTAATATGAACTGTTCTTTGAAATGTTGTGTTCTTTTATTAATGTTGCTTCATTTAAAATATTTGCTTAAATCTCAGAAGGATTTATGTGTTCTTTTGATTACTGAAAATCTAGTATTATTAAATTTGATCTTGCTTATTTTTCAAAGCATTGAGTACTAAAGAGAGGTGGCCTAGCATCTCCATGGGTCTGATACAAATGTGAGACATATTGAATTAATTCTTGAAGAACATATCCAGATAATCTGCTGAGACTAGTCCTATGCTGCAATTTGGTCATTGGTTTTGAGTGAGCTTTGGTTCAGAGTTCGAAAAGAGATGCCAGTGTGCCTTTGAGCAGGCACAAGAACACATCCGCAGAAGGGCCAAGGCAGAGTTGGATGTACAAGTTTGATGCACTCAGTTGTCTATCCTGTAATGCTCTTCAGTATAGTTCCATCTGCCAGTCAGCTGCAGGTTTCCTGCAAGCATAGGACACTGGGTGAGACAAGGGCATTGCATCCAAGAGAGGATGCTGGGGAGCACATGCAGGCTCACCTTGTCAGAACTGTTGGTAGCCCTGGAGCAGCCAGGAGCCACAGAGCGGTTTTGTGTTTTGACATGTTTTCCTGAACAGTGTAACCACAGCTGAGGATATCTAGGTGCCTAAATGGTGCTTATATGAGAATCCAGATCGGAGTCCCTCTTCCCCATTAGTTTAAAGTGGGGAATTACAGCGTTCTCTCCTTCTTGGGGTACTGGAAGATAAAGACACTTAGAACTGAATTACCGTTTGTATTGCTGAAAATGTGTAAGAAACAAAAAGGAAACAAACTGTGGAAAGCCTGTTAATAACTAGTACATTTACAGTTGTAATTTTGTATGAGGCTCAGAGGCCTTGGGCCTTGGGATACAGAATTTCTTTTTTCTTCTGATCTTTGTCTTGTTGTTTTCTCTTTTTAAAACCACATATTGTACAACATAGTTTTTCACTTGGTTTGGGGAGGGTTTTTTTCTCTTTTTGATGAGAGGACAAAATGTTGCCTTGGTTTTACTTAGCTTTATTTTAAATAATATTTTATTTTAAGAAGGTTATTTTACAGTGTTTACAGTGCACTTCAATTTTTTATTATGTCATGCCCTTCCAGCCCCTTGGTGGGATGAGAGGTGAACGTATGCATTATATAATTCATAATTAATTTATGATGAATCACATATGATGAATACTGCTTATTAAATATTAAAGCCTTGCCTACAGTCATGGTGGTACTATGGCAGTAGCACAACTGTCTGTTCCGATGGTACTATTGAGCAATTGACCTAGGCTGTGATATCAGCACCCAGTTATAAGAGAAGTCTTAGCTACTTCCCTGGACAAATGGTGTTAAGGAGAATTGGCTCTCTTTCCAGAGTAAGTGCCTTTTACTGCCTTCTCCTTTCCCCTTGTGCACCACCAGTTGGAGGTATAATAAGAGTGCAATCTCTGGAAGGCATAGTTGAGAATAGAGAAGGTGCTGCTGGTAGCTCCTCAACTCCATAGGGACTGTTATGAGTCCTAGTTCCTTCCTTCAGTGATAGAAAGCTGGACAGAGTTGAAGAATAGCCTAACAGAAGGTAATGGCCTGGATCTGGACAAGTGGAAATCCAGGCTAGATTTTGACAGTCCATTTTTATTAGTGAGGATTGGAATTCAGACAGGGGAATAATTTACCTGCAGAGGTCATTCCAGCATCTGTAACTGATCAGCTCCCAAATAAAGGCAGTAAAATAGAGGGCAGAAACCATGTAGGGGATGGCTTGCTACCAGTTTAGGGCAGTTGGTCCTAATGAAGGTATTTTTCCAAATTCATAGCAATAAATCTGGAAATCAGAAGTTGTAGAGAAATCAGATATAGACAGGGCTGTCCTGACTCCTCTGAAAACAAGGGAATCCACCCAGTCAACATTATAAGGCAGAAAAGGAAAAGTAGCCTTCTATCGGTGTTTTGTGCTCTGCTTTACCTTCCTGGGAGCATTGACCTGTGTGTCTCACTGAATACAGCAAGGAAAAATGCTGCCGCTGTGTGTGATGCAACAGAGCTTAACCCTGAAATCCTCACTTCACTGTATTTATTGCCAGCCCAGCAGGCAGATTTTCCCTTGCATTTTCTTGATTCAACTGGCTGTTATAGCAGATGGACTAGAAGGTGCAGGAGAGATGTGAGAATTTCAGTCTGAGAATATGGCATGGATAATTTCATTTAGGATGCCACCTAAGACCCCATGAGTGCATGTGAAAGTGTGTGCTGTTTTCCTCAGTTGCCTGCATCTAAGGGAAAGTAAATTAGAAGAAGCAGGCAGAGATTTGAGCACTGAAATAAAAAAAAAGGATCGTCTGTGGTGAGTAACTGTGTGAAAGGAATGTAATCCTAAGTGATTCCAATTAGTACAATGCAAAAGGAAAGGAGTGTAATTAATTTTGGCTTGATGTATAATCAACTTGTACTACACAAAGATTGTGAGATCAAATATTGAAAATCCTTAGGGTACAGATAGCAGAAATCAGTTGTTCTTTGGATAGCTGTACCATGGAAAAAAGAATACTAAAGCACAGGTATATTTTTTCAGAACTTATTATTTATTTTCTGAGAGCTCAAGCTATAGAAATTGAAATAAAATCTAATACTAGTCAATATTTGACTATGGTTTTGTTTTTTTCCCAAAGCTTTCATAGGATAATTTAATGATTTGACAGATTATCAGGAGCTTGTTTTAATATTAATTAAATAACACGCAAAGACAGAATTCTCAGTCCTTAAAATTACATAAATAAAATTGATTTATAAGATTTGATCTTAATGGGGAGTGATATATTCATTGGTATTGAGCCTTTGATCTAATACCACTTTATACATACCGCTGTGATGAGAAGATTAAAAAAAAAGGATCATAACAGTATGTGGAAATTACCAAAGGAAAAATTATGTTCAGTAACATAGTGGGTTTTTTGTATAGAAGGGACCTGTACTGGGGAAACCCTGTCTTTGGTCTTAGGGATGACAACTAGGATTGTTATGCATTTGAAAGAAACAGTTTTCACTGAGTCTCACATATCTCTCTTTTCATTTAACTCAAATTTGTAAATTGCAGATAAAGTTTGGTGACTGCACCTCTTTTTGCACATTATTAGGCAATTGTTAGAATACTCACTGATTATTGTAGGTCAGCTTATTCTCATTATTAAATGACAGTGATCATTAAAATGCCAAACATATTTTTACAGATTTGATCTTTATAAAATATCAGCAAGTTTTTATGATTTTATTAGTTCCAAATCAGATATTTCAATAGACCATTTGTAAGTATTTCTAGAAAAATATCCATTTCTGAGTTTTTGAGACCACACAAAAATATTTACAAATTAATCAGATTTTCAGATTTCTGCATAATAGCTCTGCACATTTATTGTTTAATCTAATTCTAAAATTCTGTTATGATTGACGCCTTGCTGTAGAGAGAGAAGTCAATTGAATAATGTGTAGCAGTCAGTTTTATTTGTACCTTAATGTGGTGAAGGTGGATTTTTTTTTTCACATTTCCATTATTTATAAGTTGTTCCCCTTGGAGAATATATAAAAGAATTTGTTTTAAATGAGCTGATAATACCCTCTTTAAAATTTATAAGTATGACAGAATCATATCCTTTTTCCTTACCACTCAAGGATGTGCCAAGAAACTGGTTCTGAATTCTCCTGCTATTCATAGGACAAACTGGAAAAGAGCATCTTGTTAAGGTTTACTTAGAAAAGAATTTCAACCACTCATCAGAAAAAAAATAACAGAACAGGAGGTATTGTACCAACCAGCAAACCTGGTGCTATTGCCAGGATTTTATTTACAAGAGACCACAGTACTCTTGCAGCTACGTTTGATACTTGCTGTCATTCTTATAACTTCAAAGATCAGTGTGGGCCTGATCATGCCATCAGTGCTGACAAACTGTGCGAATCAGTGCAAGCCCTTCCCTCAGTGAAAGTGGAGGATTGGGATGTAGTTTTGAAAACATCTTGGTACTTTCTTACAACTGATAAGATGTTTTTATTTCTCTTCTTCCCTTTCAAATCAATATTGCAGACTTCAGCAAAATCCAGTAGGGCTGGACTGTGTTTTGTGTTTAGCAAGTCATTAATGCCCAGTGTATAGTTTGATTGTTGGATATTGATCATCTCAATAAATGCTGAAAATTCCTTGGTTTCACAGAGTTTTGCTCAACCTCCACATGCATTTTAAAAAACAAGATGTTATTTGGAAGCATACCAGTTTTCAGTTATAATAGTGCCTTTTTATTCTGCATAGTAGAGTCTTTGCTGCCTCAGTAACTGGCAAAAGAAAATGCTTTATTAAGATAGAAAGTAGATGTGACTTCATTGTTTTTCAGATAATTTTTGCTTCCAGAAATTACAATGGCTGATGTTCACCTAAGCATAAAAAATGCAGTTCCCACATGCGCGGAGTGCTCATGTAGACTATGTAAATCGATGTATAATGTAACCCACATTAACTGGGTTGATGATATCTTCAGTTTCACTGCTGTCAAATTTCTGTAACTCCTTGAATGAGTTGACTGGTCTGAATGAATGTTAGCATAATTTATGCAGCTGATAAGTGATTTGAGTGCTTGAGTTATTGATAAAGTACTTAAACATATAATTTTCAGCTTCATGTTATGTGACATCAGAGTAGGAGGTAACGTGGCAGTCCCCAGGCTTGATATTAAAGTCACTTTGCTCTTTGGATTTCAGAGGCCAGAGGAAACACAGTGCTGCCTGACACAAGCCCAGCAGACCAGCACCAACCCAGTCAGTCCCATCCTGCATTCCCTATTGGACCTCAGGTCAGTATCTTTTCTTTCAACTAATTGAAACATACAATTTTATAAAAAATAAATAACCATGATTGATCATCTTTGATCTGTGTAATGTAGAAGACGTGATTCTCTTTGGCTGCATTCAATGTTACAGAAAGGGAGCACATATATATTGTGTATGGTTTAGAAGTCATGTTTGGCACGATCAGTTTTTTGTATGTTTTTCTAAAATAAAACCTAAGCAGTTTTGCATATTTAAGAGGTTAAATTATTTGAATTTCTTATGTAAATTACTTTTGAAATAAGTGTAAAAACTTGTACAATTTTAATACAACACCTTTGGCTCTGACAATTCTGCCTGTCACACACAGCTCTTGCATTAGTAAGACATTTCATTATCTTTTCTGCCAGGTATTTATTTTCTGTTGAGCACAGTGTAGGCACTTAATGAGACTTTTAAATATTTTCCATTGCACTTCACAATTTTATCCAAGTCCAGCCATACTCTAAAAAGATACTCGATATTCTTCCACTTTCTAGGACAGTCTTGGTCCACAAAGTTTCTGATAGTTGTTACTATAGTGTTTTCTGTTGTTACCAATCAGTATACAACTGGGAAGATTTGGGAAATGTTGGTATTTAGGTACTTGTAGGCTGACTTGAGTTAGACCTTCTTTCATTCATAAATTATCTTTGGCGAATGTGTAATGAATTTTCCAGTCTAAATTCAGCTGGGATTGCTACCATGCGACATGATTGGGGCTTACAGTTTCAGACTGTCAAAACTTTCTGTGTTAGTGAAAATGTGTGCTTTAAGATGTTGGAAGCAGTGCATATCTGTAATGGAACATGAAGGATCCCAAGCCAGAAGAGTTATAAGCGTGTAATACTGAGCTATACACAGTACAATAGCTTTGTGTTTGTGGTTTCTTACAGCAGCTACTGACAGCCCAACAATTAGCCTCAGCAGTAGCGGGGGTGATGCCAGGAGGCACTCCAGCCCTTAATCAGCCAATCCTTATTCCTTTCAACATGGCTGGGCAGCTGGGGGGTCAACAAGGACTTGTCCTAACTCTACCTACAGCGAATCTCACCAACATCCAAGGACTGGTAGCAGCAGCTGCAGCAGGAGGCATCATGACTTTGCCATTGCAAAATCTACAAGGTAAGTCATGCTGGCCACTTTTCTAATAGGTTCTTTCACTTGTTTGTTTTAAATCATCTCTTCTTTAAAACAAGTGATCTCTTTTCCAAATTAAATGTTGCTGTCCATGCATATTGAAAGTTAATACCTGGCTTGTTTTTGAATGCTTGAGAGATACTTAAGGGATATTTACATTTTTTAAAAACATATTGGAGGTGAGTGATGTAAACCACTTGAATGATTCATTAGGCTTTTTCTGTCATCAGTGATCAGTGTTCTCTAATCACAGCTTACTTTAAAATTTGAAATCATAGAATCATAAAATCACAGAATGCTAAGGGGTTGGAATGAACCTTAAAGATCCTGTAGTCTCAAACACCCCTGCCATAGGCAGGGACACCTCTCACTAGACCAGGTTGCTCAAGGCATTATCCAACCTGGCCTTGAATACTGCCAGGGTTGGGGCTTCCATGGCCTCCTTGGGCAACTGTTCCAGTGTCTCACCACCCTCACAGTAAAAAATTTCTTCCTAATATTCAGTCTTTCAATTTGTACCCATCACTACAGTTCCTGAAAAACAGTCCCTCTGTCTTTCCTGTAAGCCCTCTTCAGACACTGGAAGGTTGCTATGAAGTCTCCATGCAACCTTCTCTTCTCCAGGCTGAACAGCCCCAACCTTCTCAGTCTGCCTTCATAAGGGAGGAGCTCCAGTCCACTTATCTTCATGGCCCTCCTCTGGACTTGCTCCAACAGTTCCATAACATTCTTATGTTGGGGCCACCAGAACTGTACACAGTACTCCAGGTGGAGTCTCACAAGAGCAGAGAAGGGGGAGAATCACCTCCCTCAACCTGCTGGCCACATTCCTTTTGATGCAGTCCAGGATTCCATTGGCTTTCTGGGCTGTGAGCACACACCACTGGCTCACGTTCAGTTTTTCATCACCCGTCACCCCAAGTCGTTCTCTGCAGGGCTGCTCTCAGTCACTTCTCTGCCCAACCTGTAGGTGTGCCTGGGGTTGCCACAACCCAGGTGTAGGACCTTGCAATATGGTTTGCTGAACATCATGAGGTTTTCATTGGCCTACCTCTCAAGCCTATCGAGGTCCCTCTAGATGGCATCCCTTTCTTCCAGTGTGTTGACTGCACCACATATCTTGTTTCACCACTGCTGATTAGAGCAGCTAAATGTAGGCAACTAAAAACACAGTATCGCATGAAAATAACTTAAAAAAAACCCAAACAAAAAAAAAAAGCCCCTTTTATAATAAGATCAGAGTTTTCTCAGCTGTCGTCCTTGTCCCAGATACATGTTTTCATTCTTGCTGTGGGAGGTCTGCTTTATCAATAAGGTTCTGCCAAGAAACAAGCAAAAAGTAAATGTCTGTATGCATCCTCCCCATTATCTGAGCTGTACCATATTTGCAACTGTTCTACCCTAAAAAATCTGCTGCATTTTCTTTGTGGTCTAAAATCAGACTGAAAGCTCTTCTAGAAGATCTCTTTTCTTCTCTAGTATTCTCTCCTGTTAAATCAATGCATCTGATGCTGTTAGTAACAGTACTCAATCCAAATACATACGATATAAAATACAGATAGTATTTATTTACTATTCCTAACATGTTGGTGCTTCTCAGAATGCAGTTGCTGCTGTACAGAACTGAACAAAACATAGTAAGTTAGCCAATATCTTACAATAGAATTGTACTTAATGAAAGAAGATAGTAAAAGCAGTGATTGTCCAGTGCAAAAGTGATAAAGGTGTGAGCAGGAAGTGTCAAAATAAAGCTTTAGCTCTTTAGATTTATTTATGTATTGTTATTTCTTTCTGATGTAAATGGTAGGAAAAGTTTTTCTCAAATAAAATGGTAATTTTTTAAAATGAATCCTCTGCACTGTGCCCTAAATACTTTTTAGTTATCAAACTCTGGTGGCTGCTGATTACCAGCTGTGTTGTTTGAAGCATCAGAGCCTACCGGTTGTGAAACAGAGAAAGCGAAGAGACAGCTCATGTGTTAAACAAACTCCCTTACAAAGCACATGCATACTATTCTCACCTGTTGGAGCAACTACTTGCCTTTACCTTGTGCATGTTTTAAAGTTTAATGTCAACAGACCTCTCTTATCATAGTTGTAAATGGTTTTCACTTTAATGTTTAAAATAATGTCTTTCTCATACCATTAAGCTGCACCAAAGAACCTGTCATTCATAAATCATAGATGAAAAGGACACACTAATGCACAAATTTTGCTTGTTTAAAATTTGAGAGTACATGTAAAGTAGGGAACTGCAGATTAAAAAAATAATGCAGGAACAGGAGTGAGTAAAAGCAGATAGAACAAAGTGAAGGGGAAGTAGCTTTTTAGTGTAGGTGGATGATGAAATCTTAATGAAGAAACAGGCATTATAAAAATGTATCCTTCCACTCTGAAGTGCTCCAGGTTACAGTTGCTGGGTATGTTGTATTCTAAATAAACATAAGCTTGTGCAGTTCTTATGTCATTTATTCACCCTGTGTTGCAAAGCTGGAGAGTAGGGATTAAGTCAGGCAACCTTTGCTCTTTATTTTAGCCACGGATGTCTAATTGCTGGCTAAAAGGGGCAACTCTGCTGCCAAATGAATTTTACAAGCCATGATCTTATACCAGATGAAAAAGTTCCCTTATAATCTTTACTGGTAGACAGGAGCATGGGATCAAATAGGGACTTGCTGAAGCAACAGGTACAGTTGTATGAACATAATCATACCTTCCATAAAATATCTGAAGGGAGCAGAACTCATGAATTTATTTAGTTGTGTTGCTGTTTGTTGTGTTCTGTACTCTTCCTTCCCTATCTTCTAAGCAAGTGCTACTGCCTGCCCTCAGTATTTGGAACTGAAACTGATACACAAGACAACAAAATAACTTGGTCAATAGCTCTTAACCACCCTGAATCACAGTTGTAAACTCCTGTTGCTTCCTCTATAGCCCACTACCTGATGTCTGTGTGAATGAGGGTAGGAATCAGGTGAGAGTGTTGTGTGGTATCATCAGTTCCATTGAACCTGATTGACTTCTGGTGCCTGTTTTTTGTGGTTGGTTGAAAGATAATCATAGAATATGTGTTCTCTTTTGTAGTCAGCACTTTTTTAGGAATACTCATAAAAGCCCATGCTTCAACACAGTTTTGGTAATTCCTTTGGGCAAAATCAGACCATAATTATCAGCTTCCATCTCTTAAACCTCACTGTGGCACGGTCATCTTTGATGACTGGGGGACATGTTTTCATGATTTTTTTGAGCCTGTCTTATTACTCCTGTTGTTGTCTCATCTACTGTCCCTGAATTTTCAGTGAAGTCAAGTACAGATGTCCACAGCTCCTGTGAGCTGGGTGTTCACAGCTTCTGTGAGCTGGGTCTTCTCTTATCTTTCTTTTCTCATAAGTAAACTTCTAAGCTCTTCATCACAAACTACCCCTGTTAGGTAACTCAAAAGACACCCCGAAAATTTTTTGAATAATGTATGAATTCATAAAAGGTCTGGTCTAACACAGTACTTGAATTCACACTGAATGTTGATCATGGGAGTAACTCCATTACATTTTCCGTGATCCACATACATGTTTCACTGATTTTCTTCTCGTGAACTTTCAGGTCTGGTTCAGGGTAATAAGACCTCAGGGTTACTGGATAAAATAATAAACATCCTCACTTGTGGAAAGAGAAAATAACACTCAGTGATAGGAATCATAGAGGACATATGTTAAGTATTTAAAATGAGCAAAAAAAAGTGTCTTTTAAAAGTTAAGACATTGGTAAAATTGAGCGATTAACGACATGGAAATTACTCACACAGTATAACTTAGTGAAATTGCCTATTCTTCACTTGTCAGTTACCTATAAATAAGATTTTTTTCTCAAAGGTATTTGTCTTAAATTGTTCAGTTGCTATATGGTCCTGAGCCACCACTAAGTTGATAGGAATTTTGCTGCTGTAAGTGAAAAGAGGTTTGGACCAAACCAAACCTCTTTCAAAATTCCTTTTCTTCATGCATACTTGATTATTTTCTGTGCATTACACTACGTCATTTGCCATACGCACTGCTATACTGTATCTGGTCCCTGAGCAAATACATCAAATGTGTGTAAACAAAGAAAGGAAGGTGAATGTGTAAATTCTTGCTGTGAAACTTAGAAAAATATGTTTTCCCTGGCTTCAGGTAAGCAAATTTCATATGCACAATGAATATGCAAGGAATAAAATTTACTGCAATGAAAGAGGGTTGGTGGCAGAATAGAACTATCTACCTTAGTGAAAACAGAAATCCCTGCACGTAACACAGATTTACCTATGGAATTTTGGCTTTCCACCAACAGTTCTTTGAAGAAAACCGTAAAATCAGCGACCGTAACTTTTTATTGTAATCCACTAAAAGCACTGAAGATAAAAGTTTAAAAACCATCCATGAAAGTTGTTGTCCTGAGAAATTTACACACTTGTTTTCCCCTCACTATTTCTTAGAATTACAGCTGGAGCACACCCATGCTTACCTAAGATTTTGGAGATGTCACAATAAAAATGGTGAGGTTGTGAGAAGGGAAAAAGTGAGGCAAGTACCCCACAAGACAGCAGGTTTTCTGTCTTTTGCTCTTAGTCCACTGCTTCTTGGCCTGTCTTTGTTGACTTAATGCAGAAAATAGTCTGCCGGCTTTTCTCTTAAACATCCAAACTTGAAGTCATCAATATTCATCTTACTGTCTTCAGGAAACTTTTCTATGGGCTGAACAGTTTCAGGTTCTGCATGTCTTTTGCCATGTCAGATTTCTCTGGGTTTTGGGAGGAGTGTGTTCTATTTTTTAATTTTAGTTATCCTTCTCAAGAGTCTCTCCAAGGGACAAGTAGTTGCTTCATCTCAGAGTATTCAGTAATGCCTGGGAGCTGATATTCATGAAAAGACATTCTCTCCCTAAGCCCATCTGATTTTTATGTCTTGATGTAATATTTTTGTATAGCTGAACAGAAAGATACCTTTGAGGGGG